ATATTAAACTAACCATTATGAAGTAGCTACATACTTAACTACTACAGTAATCTCTAAGCATTTAATTTCCATATAAAAATGGATGGTTTCTAATAAAGGTTTCAATTTGTTATTACACTATTTGCAAGGAAAGCTTCTCATGTAACGTTGATCTCATTTAACATTCTTTCAACATTATATAGTATAATATAATAATAATCTTAGAACCGTAGAGCAGGAAGGGACCCTATGGATCATCAAGTCCAGCCCCTGAGAAGGAGGCACAGTCGGGAATCGAACTCCCAACCTCTGGCTTCGCAGCCAGAACTGCTATCCAGCAGTTTAATCTTCCAAGCGTTCTGAAAATACAAGGTTTGTTGTATCTTATTTTAATCTCTTCTTCAGCTTTCCTGCCAGCCATCACCACTGGTCTTTTGCTAGTTTTGTTATCTATGGAAAGCTCCATTCTGCAAGTCTGTTATTTGACGAAAATGTACTGTACTATAATCTTAAGCAGTGGTTCCCAATATAGGGACCACTCATACAGGTGTTGGTGGTGAAGGCTTCTGGGAACTGAAGTTACCCGAGGTTGGGTACCACTGATCTAAAGCAAAGCATGCTGCTTCTATACTGCCCCATAGAGCTTAACACACACTGGGTTGTTTACAGGGTTTTTTATGGGGGCTACATATTGTGCCCCCCCCCAACAAGCTGGGTACTCAATTTACAGTCTCAGAAGGATGGAAGGCTGACATCTAGATTGATTCTTGCTCACATTTACTCCTGTCCATCAGATTTCATTTATTTATTTATTTATCTATCTATCTATCTATCTATCTATCTATCTATCTATCTATCTATCTATCTATCTATCTATCTATCTATCTATCTATCTATCTATCTATCTATCTATCTATCTATCTATCTATCTTATATGCCGCCCACTCTACCCAAAGGTCTCTGGGTGGCTTACAACAGTTAAAATACAATTATGACACAACCTCAAGCATATATTTGACTACACTCTTTCTGTATTATCTGTAACTCAATGGCCAATGTCTCACTAGTGTTTGTGTAAGGTCTGCATAACTTGCCGAAGTAAATTGCAGTTAATTGATGATCCTGTGGCACATGTCCTGGTAACATTTCTGGTCATATCCCCAATTGTACAAACTGATATACACCCCGGCACCTCAATAATTAGCCACAGTTGTCCATAGCAAGTTGTGTAAACCTTACACAAGCACTGGTTTGATTCTGGCCTATGTCTAGACTTCTAAAAGGTGGTGGTGGTGATGATAAATGTGCCACCAAATCAATTCCGAATTGTGTTGACCCTTCTCAAAGTCTTCTAGGTATAAATATTCCAAAGTGGTTTAGTAGTGCCCAAAGCTACACAGGCTGGCTCTTCTGGGAGGCCCATTGGGAAATCAGAATTCCTGACCTTTTGCTGTGTAGCCAGAGATCCACCTTACTGAGCTATCCAGTTCATAACTTTATAAACACACTGTTGGGAGAGAGCTAGAATACTGAAAAAGAGGAATTTAGAGTGTGGGCTGAAGCTCGGAAGACAGAAGGCAAAGTCCATAATTTGTCGATGGAATGCACGCTTTGTGTGCAGAATGTCCCAGGTGCAGTTCCTCACTTCTCTAGATAGACCTGAGAAAATCCTGAACATGAGATTCTTTTGCCAGTGGCCGGTATCCTACTGACCTTTTAATGAAGCAGCAAGTCCAACTAGCCTAGATATGTGAGAGATCATGCTACTTACCCAAGCGTTGCTGTTGCGGAAGCAGAGTGTACCTTTTCTTCATGGCCATCACTACTGGCAATTGTCAACACTTTCAACCAATACAGTGGTGCCTCGCATAGCGACGTTAATCTGTGCAGCAAAAATCGCTGTTAAGCGATTTCGTTGCTATGCGATTTTAAAAAGCCCATAGAAATGCATTAAAACCTGTTCAATGCGTTCCTGTGGGCTAAAACCTGACCTTAAAGTGAAGATCCTCCATACGACAGCCATTTTCGCTGCCTCTTAAGTGAGGAATCCATGCGAAAACTCAGCGGGTGGCCATTTTTTTTAACCCGGAGGCCATTTTGGAACCGCCAATCAGCTGTTAAAAAATCATCACTTTGCGATGATCGGTAAACGAAACAGGGAACCAATCATCACAAAGCGAAAAAACCATAGGAAATGTTGCAAAGCGATTGCTTTTGCGATCGCAAAATCTTCGTCACTATGCGGTTTTGTCGCTAAACGGGGTGCCCATTAAGCGAGGCACCACTGTAGTGCAGTCTCGCACGACTGTGCTAGTGGGACTTCTGCTCATCACAAGCTCCCTTGAATATCAGCCCATTGAGGTAGATAAGACTGAGCTACATGGACTCGTGGTGTGACTTAATAAAAGGTGTTGTATGTCTGCACAGTGGAAGATTTGCAAAGGTCGGCAGTAGGTGACAGCCCTGGCTCCCCAATGTGGTTCCAAAGCAGAACCGGCTTTATGGTTTTGCAGCAGGAAACAAGCAGTTTGCTTTGGAGTGCCTTACTCTTGTTGTCGGGATCTCTGGAGTGGGTCCCCTGTCTGTCTGTCTTCCTGCTGCTTTGCTCTTGACATCTGCCTGGCTCACTTTTAGTTAGAACAAGTGAAGAGACCCTTCTTCCAAATGTTGGGCATGCTGTCTAGGGCTGATACTCTGGAGGGCTGTAGACACCATACTCCTGTACTAAAGAGCCAAGATTAAGCAATTGTAGCCTTTCGAATTTTGTTGGCTTTAGCCAGCCTGGCCGCTGTTTCCAGAACATGGAAGTAGTTGGAGGCCAAAAACATCGGGGAGGAAAAGTTGCCCACTCTATGCTGCGAGAGATCACTAAATCTGTCTTCCATGGCTCTGTTTCATTACATTTCATTTTTCACAGACCTTGCAGAAATACCTTTTTGGCTTACTGATCCCGTGCTGGCTGGAGCATTCTGGAAGCTGTAGTGCAAAATAACTTTCCCGAACTCCACTCTTACGTATGTGCTGAGAACTGTACTAGCTTCTGTAGTTTTATTTTGGTCTTCCTCTGTGTGTGCAGCACCGTTTCTGCAAGGAAGAATACTTGTGCAACATAGTGCAGTCCACCTACGCTTGAACTTAAGCCCTCTTGTTCTAAATAGCCTTTCTCCTTTATAAATGTGTGTGTTCAGACTTCATCACCTGTCCCTTTTACTGGTTTCTCCAAATCTGAAGATTTCATCACCCGTTGCTTTTACCTGTTTTCTCCACCCTGGAGTGATTCACTTTGCCAAGCAACCACATGGGAGTGTCAGAGTTCAGGCTGTTCAGCCGAAGTTATTCATTAAATAGGAGCGGACGGGTGAAAACTGAGATGTCACTAGATTTTTTGACCCAATCCAATCAGCTTCCTGTCCCTGGACTTAAAATCATAGCCTGCTATCCCTTTCTTTCATGATAAGGTTTTATATTTTTAGTTTGTTGCGCTTGGATAGTTTAATCAAGCTGTCAGTCATGCTTCGATTTATGACAGGTTCCTGGGACACGCCTTGTAGCTGTGTATATAGGATGTGGAGAGAGCAGAGGTGGGCACAAGTCGCCAGTTTGTTTATTGGTTGAACTGGTGTTTGGCGCTCCAAAGCCCCACCTCCTCCAGAGGACGCCCACTCAGAGGCAGTGTCCTGGCTTCCATGCCCCGCCTTCTTCTGGGTGCTGCTTTTGAGTGGGCGCTACTGGAGGGAGCAGGACTTCGATGTGCCAGACACCTGTTCGGCCAATAAATTAACAAGCATAAACTGCCTAAACAGCAATTTGTGCCGATCTCTAGGAAAAAGAAGATTCGTCCTTCAAACGTCAGCCTCTTGGTTGCCACCCTGCCAAAATCATTTTCCTTAAATGATTCTGCTCATGCTCCCTTGCCACTCCCTTTATCAGAAACTCCCTACTTGAGTCTGTTGATCGAAGCAAGCCACGCTTAGGGCTGCTATTTCCTTGAACTCTCATCATCTAAGCTAACTGGAAGGATTACAATGGTGCCTCGCTAGACAGTTATCCCGCATGACAGTTTTTTCACTAGATGTTGACTTTTTGCAATCGCTATAGCGATTCACAAAACAGTGATTCCTATGGGGAAATTTCGCTGGACAATGGTTTGGTCCTTGCTTCGCAAACCAATTTTCGCTAGACATTGATTTTGACAGCTCCCTCTGTGTTCGCAAAACGGGTGTTTTCGGGACCTAAGCTTTGCAAGACAGCTATTTAAATAGCTGATCGGCGGTTCGCAAAGCGGTTTTCCTATGGCCGATCTTTGCTAGACAACGACGATTCTTCCCCATTAGAACACATTAAACAGGTTTCAATGCATTCCAATGGGAAAATGCTTTCGCTAGACGATGATTTTGCTAAACAGCAATTTCAGTGGAATGGATTATCATCGTCTAGCAAGGCACCACTGTAATAAGCCTGTGGTTCAAAACATCTTGGGTTCATCAAGTCATCTGCCAAGGATGCCATGGATGCCATGGATTGTTTTCCCCATTCTGTCCACTCTCTTTTCAAAGTGGATTTTGTCTAGGTGGCATTGGGGTCATTTTAAACCTAATTCTGTCTTTTGTATGCATGTTACGTGTTCCACTTGTATAAGTGGAAGGAGTAGTATTTGGCCATGCAGTGTGGTTTTGCTTTCCCACGGTGTGTTCCAGATTGTGAGTGCTTCGAAAGCAGGGATCTATCTTTTGCTTTTGTAACCTTGATAAAATGCCATTTGCAGTGGTGGCTCAGTGTATGTAAAGGTAGAATATGGCATTTGTCTTTCCTGTTCTGCTTTATGTGCTTAGGGTCAGTGAAATCTCTGTGATTATTTGAAGGATTGTTGTGATATGATTGGAGCAGGAGTTAGTAGATATATTTTCAAGGATGAAAAAGCTAATAAAAGTCTAATATACCTGTGTGCACAACCAGATTTAAGGAATTTGTATCAAGCTTACTTTGTTAAAATATATTTTATTTCTTCCCTTTTTTTGCAGGATCCTTCAGTCACACAGTTAGCAAATGCTAACCAAGGTGGTCTGGATGAATTCAACCCCTTCTCTGAAAGCTCCCGGCTGGTAAGTCAAGAGTAGATTAATTTCTTTACTACACAGCATGGTTACCTTTAGGATCAACCTGAAAAAGTGCACTGGGGGTTGGGCTAGGCACATTTCACTAAGACCAGAAAGCCTCCTGTGTAAAGACAAAGGCTCATAAAAAATTCAAGGGTCAGATTTCCTTTTCTTTTCCTCTCTGGGCCATCACATCTTAGTAAAATACATATTTTTTTAACACAGCAAGTTATCTAAATAAGCTAACAAAAGTTACAGCCTACTAAAATATTAACTAGTCATCTATGTACTGTAGAAGATTTATGGCAAGCTTCTGTTCAATATGCATGGGATATGAAATAAACAGCAAAAATACTTAAGCAGATGCCAAAAAGGGTGTGCAACAATAAGGCTTACGTTTCCTATCATATGATGGTAACAGGATCATCTTTGTATACAGACAGAAATATTGGGCTGCTATAATAGGAACAGCTCTAAACAGTGATAGTTGTAGTTATTCTCAAAGATGGATTTTAACTTTTTATTGCCCATTGCATTTTTCACCTTAAGGAAGCTGCTGTGGGGAATCTCTAGTCTAACTTTTGCCTGTAATCCTGCTGTTCTTTGGATCTTTGCTGTTTAGAGCCGCCAAAGTCAGAAAGGCAGTGATGGTGCCCTGCTTCTGATAGGAGAAGAACGTAGAAGAAGCAGCTGTGTTAGGTTCATGCCCGAGACAGGCAGACGGAGGAGAAGTAAAGCCATCTCACTTGCAGCAGTGGTGGGCAAAATGTGGCTTTCTAGTTTATGTTGGACTCTGCCCCCCAGCTTTTCCCATCATATACTATGTTGGGGAGAGTGGATAGGAATTGCAGTCTAGCAAAATCTGGAGGGCTACACTTTGCTTTCCCCCTGTCTTTCCACACAGGGAAGAAACCGAAGCAAGCAAAAGCAAAGAGAGGATCGCTTCAGGTGACCCTGTTACTACTCTTGCCCCCAGTATAGATACAGTCCCTGAATTAAGAGTGGTTGCATTCTGTTTCGTACAACTCCGTGTCTCTTGCAGCATTTTTTTTTGCTGAATACAATGCAGGGTTTCATAAAGTTCTCAGAGCTCGCAGGGCTGAGCAGGGAAGCAAGGTCGTCAGATAATAAGGGAACCAGTGCCAAAGATGTTCTTGGCTGGGTGACGGCATTGCTGGACTGCTTTTCCCATCTGCTCTTTTTGTTAAGAAATATGTATTTTCCAAGCTCTGGAGAAAGTGGTTTTTTTTTTTTTTTGACAGATAGCTCCAAAACTGACTGATTCTGTTACAAAAGGACTAACCAGCAGTTAGGAATGGGTGGTGAAATGGCCGAAGATGTGCGCTTGTTTATATTCTTCATTTTCATCCCACTCCTGGGTCAAAAAAAAGGCTACCATAAGTGGCTTGCGCAGGATCAGTAAAAAGCCATCTTTGTCTCCAGGCTTGCATTCTGTGAAGATCAGAAAAGGAAAAAAGATGGATAGGAAAGAGAGAGAAAAGGAAATTGTCTCTTTTTTTAGGGCAACCCCCTGTCTTGCTTTACAGCAGTTGACTGGAATGGCCCTTGGGAGTGACACAGAGAACAGAAAGGAAATGAGCAGTTTGAACCTCCTTTTAGTCCAGAACCCTTCCTTCCCCCTGTGCCCGATTAAGACAAATATTCACCAGAGAGAGCACCAAAAGGCTCTTTCTGCTTCATGATAGAGGTTGATGTTAAGGTTTCTGGAAAATGCTACTCTTTAAATTCCGGGGCAGCCAGGATTCCAGGAGGATAAATTTTGGAAATCAGCCGTACAGTTACTATATGTTCAGACGAACTTGTGTTGATTCTCTGGAAACTGACAGTTACTATATGTTCAGATGAACTTGTGTTGATTCTCTGGAAACTGACAAGACCTCTTCAGGTGATGCTTCCACAGCGATAGAACCGGAATCTGGTTTTGGGGACCCTGTCGTGGCCTTCTGACTTTTTATTTTGCCTTTCTGTTGCAGACGAATGCCACTCAGACCGTCCCCGCCACAAAGCCCACCAGCCCATCACAGCCTGCTGTGCTACAGCCCTCTGTGGAACCCACTCCGCAGGTAGTGCTTCCTTTCCCTTTTATTAGTGGTTTATATCTCTCGAAAGTTCACTCAGTGTTATTTAAACAGACAGGAAGATCTTAGTTCTGCTTGTTTTTCTTGGTACAGTGGGGTCTGGACTTACGAACGGCTCGACATACGAACGTTTCGACTTATGAACAGCTCTCATAGGAATATATGGACTCGACTTACGAACTTAGATTCGAGTTACGAACTCTTTTTTTCCCTTTTTTTTAAAGCTAAGTCATCTTAGGTTAAAAGGAAAAAAGGAAAAATATCTCCCTCTAGTGGCAGAAGGCGGAATAGCAACTTCCCATTAGTTTCTATGGACGAAAAGAGCAGATACGGATTAAATGGTTTTCAATGCATTCCTATGGGAAATGCAGATTCGACTTAAGAACTTTTCGACCTGAGAACTGCCTTCCAATACGGATTAAGTTCGTAAGTCGACACCCCACTGTAACTCACTTTATAGATTGCTTTGAAAGGTACTGTATAAATTGCAGGTTCTTCTCTATTGGCTAGGACTTGAGGGGAGAGAAGAGTTAACACAAATGTAACTTGTGACCCAAGATCTAATTTGTTGATTTTAATTGGTGTGTGACATTATGCTCCTCCCTTTTTGCTTAATGTTCTTTTGCTAGCCCATTCTTTGCAGCCAAAAGCCGACTGTCCCACCCATTGTTAGGCCATTTCGGGACTTTTGCCTCACCCCCGTCTCTCCTTCACCCATTGCTTGTCATATTTGCACCTTCCACAGGTCACTGCTGCTCAGCTAGTCACTGAAAGCAAGCTCAGTGACTGCCCCCCCATCTCACAGCTTGCTATGTTTTAGCTCCTTTTACAGGCATTGCCATCCACCTCAGCATTAATGCTCCCATTTGTCAAGTACCCTTTTCTTCACTCCATTCTCATTAAAACCTCCACGGCTCCTTAGGCTCAAACACTTTTCTATCAATTTGACTTTAATAGGCGGATGTGTCCATATCCTCTTCATGACACCTTTTTTTTCTCGGTAGTTAAAATATCGATGAACATTCCATGGCAGCATAGTAGTTGGAGGGTGTACAGACATGTGCTTCCACGGCTCCTTAGGCTCAAACACTTTCCTATCAATTTGACTTTAATAGGAGGATGTGTCCACATCCTCTTCATGACATCTTTTTTTCTCGGTAGTTAAAATATCAATGAACATTCCATGGCAGCATAGTAGTTGGAGGGTGTACAGACATGTGCCAGCACATCAGAATACTTGAGTTCAGATGTTTTCTCTGAGACTGGTGGGATTCAGTGGATTATTCCTCAGATGGCTAGTATCTGTTGTTATACTGTACAATCATGGAGATGGAAGGGTCCTATAAGGGTGTTCCTTCCAACCCCCAACTCAATGCAGGAATCCAAATCAAAGCATTTCTGGTGCATAGTTGTCTGCATTTCTCTTGAATGCCTCAAGAATTGGAGCGCTCATCACCTCTCAAGAGTAATTGCTTCCATTGTACTGCTCTCAGTTAGGATGTTTTTTTTTAATACTCAACAGAAATCTGGCTTCTTCTGCCTTGAGCTCTTTATTACGTGTCCTATACTCTGAGAATGATCAAGAACACATCCTACCCTTCCTCTTTATGACAGTTATTCAAGCATTTAAAAGTGCTATTGTATCTTCTCTCATTCTTCTTTTCTCAAGGCTAAACATTTCCAGTTCTTTCAGTCTTTCCTTATACGGCTTGGTTTCCATTCCCACAATCATCTTTGTTGAACCTCCTCTGAACTTGTTCCACTTTGTTGGCAGCCTTCTTAAAATGTGTCCAGAACTGAACACAGTGCTCTAGATAAGGACTAGCCAGTACTAAATAGAGGAGAGCTAGTACTTCATGGGATTTGGAAACGATACTTCTGTTAATGCAGACTAAAATAGGATTGGCAACCACACTGCACTGTTGGCTTATATACAGCTTGTGATCGACCACAAATTCCAATATCCTTCTCATGCATTATATTCAGGAGCAATGCATCTCCCATCTTGTAACATTGTGTTTGTGTTTTTCCACCCCTAGGCATAGAACTTTGCACTTAGCCCTGTTAAAGTCCATTCTGTTGTTTTCAACCCAGTGCTCAAGCCTATCAAGATCTTTCTGAATCTTGTTTCTGTCTTCCAGGGTATTAGCTCTTTCACCCAATTTTGTGTTACCTGCAAATTTGAAAAAAAAAATTCCTGGCATCCCCTCGCCCAAGTCATTCATAAAAAAAGTTCAGTCCTGAACCTTGTGGTACCTGACTAAAAAAAATTCCTGGCATCCCCTCTCCCAAATCATTCATAAAAAAATGTTCAGTCCTGAACCTTGTGGTACCTGACTTACTACTTCCTCCCAGTTTGAGAAGGAGCCATTGACAAGCACTCTGAGTATGATTCTGTAACCAACTGTGTATCTACCTGACACTTATTCTGTCCAGCTCACACCTAGTTAGCTTGCTACCCATTTGAGTCTAGTTTCAGGATAGGATTTGATAGCAAAATGACCTTAGTTTCCCTGACTCATCACCTGCAGCCATTAGAATGGGAGTAGGGGGGCACTATACTTCAGTGGTCCCATTCCTGTCTTTGGAGCCAGTTCCAAAGAATGGCATTGGGGGGGACTTCTGTTAAGCTCCATGTCAATTAAGCCGTGGGGCATTGCTGAGTTTCATTCTATCTCTCATGCTGTCTAATATCTATATGGAGCCACTGGGAGTGGTCATTAGGTGTTTTGGAGTTGGGTGCCATCAATATCTCCCAATGTCAGTCTTTGGAACTGGTTCCAAAGATAGGAATCAAACCACTGTAGTATAGTGCCTCCCATTCTATGGAGCCTGTCCAAGAGGTTATCATGATCAATGCTATCAGAAGCTGGCTGCATTCCCTCTTGGCTCTAACCCAGAGTCAAGTGATGAGTCAGGACAACTTAGGCCATTTTGCTATGGATTCCAAGCCCGAAACCAGACTGAAATGGGTCCCAATAATCAGTTTCTTCCAAGGACATCTGAAGCAAATGTTCAAGCACTTTGCCCAGAAAGGGGATATTTGCAACGGGACAGTCATTTTCACTAGAGATGGGGATATTCATATTTGCAAACAAATATGGACATCTCTGTCCCAGCTGGACCGAATGAGGGCCCAGCCTTCGGTACTGCACCATCCACTCACGTGTCCCATCACTGCGAAGGTTCCCGCCAATGGTGGTCAGAGCTCCGCTTTTTTCCTGCTTGGCTGGTCACTCCAGGCAGGGCCCAATGGCAGTCAGAGCTCCGCTTTCTTCCTGTTCGGCTGGCCACTCCAGGCAGGGAGCAGGAGGACATGTCTCTCTCCACCCAGCTGTTGAGTGGCCAGCTGGGCAGGGACACAACGAAACTCTGGGCGCCATTGGCAGTCGGAGTGGGACCTTCGCAGCACTTTCGTTAGATCCAACTGAGAGGGATGTTTATATTTGTTTACAAATACAAATATTCCCACCGACACGGACACAGTGAAACTCTGCGCGCCATTGGCAGTCGGAGCGGGACCTTCGCAGCACTGGAAGGAGTAAGTGGTCAGTCCAGTCCCAGAGGCTGGACTCTCATTAGATCCAACTGAGACAGGGATGTTTGTATTTGTTTACAAATACAAATATTCCCACCTCTCGTTATCACATACCTCTGGGTCCAAAAAGGTCCTGTTGTGGAGAGGGTGCACCACTGTGTCTTTTGAGGCAGAAGACACCACCCCTTGCTTTAAGGAGGCACCAGCCACCTCCTAGACCCACCCAGTTCATCTACCCCTGCTAGATCTTATCAACCACAAGGTTCAACGGTCAAGTATGCATAGTGGGATGTGCAACGAACACGGGTTCGAAAACACACGTGTACGCGTTCATCTACCCCTGCTAGATCTTATCAACCACAAGGTTCAACGGTTAAGTATGCATAGTAGGATGGACTGGTTCAAGTGTCTTGTCCACATCATCAGGCTACAATTAAATCTGATCTGCAAAACTATGACTAGATGGTGCACCAAACATCTTTTGTGGCATCAAGTTCTGGGAGAATATGAGTGACTTTTTCCTAAAAGTGCCTAGCAAGCGTCTTACAGCAGGTGACTTGAGGGTCCCACTCCTAGCTTTTATGAGCCTGATCCAAGCAAGCTCTTAAATATCCAGAACGATTCTGCTGAATGGCAGGTGTAGGTTGAAATAATACTGGCAAAGTTAAACTCCTTCAGTTCTTAGATAGCCAAGCCAACAAGGCCAGTGATCAGGGTTGTTATAGTTGAAGTCTAAAACATCTGGAAGGCGAAGAGTTTGGAATCACAGCTGCAGAACAAATAAAACATCTCCCTTTCGTCCTTTGCTCACTCACTGTTACTGCCATTTGTATGTGTCATTTGTACAGCCTGTTGAGAGTACTAGTCATTTAGCTTCAGTTAAACCATCAAGAAGACCACATCCTGTGAGCTTAGACATAGTTTAGTTGTGTGTTGCAGTTGCTGCTTAGGCAGGCCAGCCAGTACCTGACTCCTAAGTTCATCTCGGCAAGCCTGGAAGGTTCAGAGAGGCAGAGGTTGCTGGAAGAAGACGGCAGAACTCAGCAGTAGCCACCAGGTAAAAAGGGAGGGTAGAAAAACTAGCAGGAAGACAAGCAATTTTTAGAAAAGAAATATATATATTTCCTTTTGATCAGCCATTCTAGGGTTTTGCCACCTTCTCGTAGGGTTTTTTGTTTTGTTTTTGTCTTATCAGAACAGAGGGAAGGATTGTTTTTGTGTTTCTAAAGCCAATAATTCAGGCTTTCTTTTCCTCTTTCCTGTATGGACGGCTTTATTGACCTTCCTCATCACCACCCTGGATTTTCCTTCTGTTCGCCTTTGTTCTACACGATCTTCCAAATGAGTGTCATAGCATGTCATAGCTCAGCAGGTCCTGACATTCTGAGTGTTGCTGCTGATTCTGTTTTCCGTGGTTCTACATGTGAAAAATCATGTTCACGTTCTCCCAAAAGATGAGCGTGGAAGGTGTGGCTCTCCAGATGGTCGCGGAACACAACTCCTGCCCATCCCTTTTCATTGTCTGTGCCAGCAAGGCTGATGATGAGTGTTTATGAATGATGTCTGGAGGGTCATATATTCTTTACCCTGTTCTAAAATATTAAGCCCAAGAAGAACTGAAAAGTGCTAATATATGGTTCTCTTCTACAGCTCATTATAATGTATTGGAAAGTGCTAGACCTACATATCGGTAGCCCACCCAGCACGGCTTTTGGTGGTCAGACAGTCAGGTTTCTTCATTCAAAGAAGTTTTCATTTTATCCCCTCTGTCTAGACAGCTGCAAGTTAATACTTAGTGTCTCCATTTTCTCTCCCCAAATATACCGGTATTGCCCTTGTTTAGAATAATTAGTACTATATCGTGCCATTATTATCTGATGTTATTTATAATTATTTTTGTGCATATAGGCCGTTGCCTCTGCAGCACAAGCTGGCCTCCTTCAGCAGCAAGAGGAGCTGGAAAGGAAAGCTGCAGAGCTAGACAGAAAGGAGCGAGAGCTGCAGAACAGCACGGCCGGGTTTAACCGTGAGTGGTCTATGGCAGTGCTTACCTTGTTTATTTATTTTAAATAGTTGTATTATCCTTTTGGGGGTGCATGGATACGCAAATGCATACATGCATGCACATATATATTTTAAAAAACTTCTCCATGGTGGTTTGTAATAGGCCACTTGTCTGGTAATTTTTCTAATGACTCAAGAAGCAAACATGATGTTTGGCTTGAAATATAACCCACCTTAGAAGCTCTTCTTTGGTTTGTGCACACTAGCATGTTGTGCAAATCTAGGCTGCACAACCAGCTGCCTCTTAAACACTTGGGCAGTTTGTTCATGGAGAACAGGAGTAGGCACCTGGAGCCATCTGGATGTGTTTCAGCTTCTTCTGCCCGCATCCATCCTGCGTGTCAATGCTGTCTAGTGCCGGTGGTGGAAAACGTATACAGAGCTCCAGTTGCCCGCAGTTGATCTAGACCAGGCTGGTAGCTACTCTTTGGGGTCTTCAGCAGACGTCAGCTGCGTTGCCTGCTATGCATCTGCTTTAACTGAAGGTGCCAGGCCTTTTTCAGTGTGTGGGGCCAGCAAGGCCCCCATTGGCCTGGAAAGAGGTGTCCTGACCTTAGAGAGTCAAGTGTCTGCCTTCCCTCCACGGCGCTCTCTGGTGGGTTGGAGTGGCAACAGTGAATAGGTGGGAGATGCCCTCAAGGCCACAGGTGTAGCCACGGTGGGGCTTCTACAGTGGTGCCTCGCTAGACAATGATAATCTGTTCCACTGAAATCGCTGTTTAGCGAAATCATCGTCTAGCAAAAAGCAAATCGTCGTCTAGTGAAAATCGGTTTGCGAAGCATGAATCAAACATTGTCCAGCGAAATTCCCCCATAGGAATCACTGTTTTGCGAATCGCTATAGCGATCGCAAAAAGTCAATGTCTAAAAACTGTCATGCTGGGTAACTGTCTACCGGGGCATCACTGTACTTAAGGAGGAGTGAGACACCATTAAGGAGGACCAATGGGTGGATGCTGTGGATTTTGAGGTGCAGGAGGCGAGACCCGGGAAGGCACACTCCACGAACGACTGGGACATGGTTGACTGGTGCAACCCTGACATCAGTGACTGGGTAGACCTGCTGGTGCTGTGCAAGGAGGTTCCAATGTTCAACGAGATGAGGCATGCCAGCAAGAGGGTTGCAGGGCAGAGAACCCCCCATGAGCACCTTGGTGCCACTGCAAGCAGCCGGAGCTTCTTCAACCAAGCCACTTTGCACCACCAGCCACTCGGGTCAGTGAGAGTTCCCTGGTGCAGCCATGGCACACCTTTCGCTGAGCACCCCAGGGGGGGAACCAGCTAGTTTCACCTGAAATTTGGCCAGGCAGCAGCTGAGAACGATCCAACCTATGTACTGGGGGTTGCTGTGGGTGAGCTCTGTGGTTTGACTGGAGAAAGGGGCCGATGCCGCCTGCTTGAAGGGCCAGCTGCTGGCATGCTTGCAACACTCATGTTGCCGCACCCTCTGCTTAGCCCACCTGTGTGAGGTCCTCTGCTTGGTGGAAGAGAAAGGGCTCCGTTCTACCCCCTAGGACTCAAATTCAAGGACTAATAAGGAAAGGACTGGGAGTGACGTTAACTCTTTGGCTCCTGGAGGATATTCAGTTATGTTGGGGCTGTCGGCCCTCTTAGTTGCATTGGCTGTTTGAATAAAGTGTTCTGTTTCTGCAGCAACTGATGGCGTCATCATGGAGGGGAGATCAGGGGATACACAATGTTGTGTTATCTTTCCCTCTGTCGGCTAGTTAGCAATCTTGATGTAAATTTCAAGATATGGGAGGAAGGGCCTCCATCACAGACTAACGTTTTTGCATGCTAACTAATCAGAGGGGTTTGTTTTTGGCGGGCTGGATAAACTCCACCCTTGTTTCTTCCCTTCTCCTCATGTGTTTTGAGACACACCATTTTGTCTCATACCCTTTTTCACCTTGGAAGATGCTAGATCTCCAGGCTGGATCTCTGAACATTAGAGATCTTCCCAGCTAAGTGGGCTGAGGAAACAAACCTTGTTCTTACTATTTTCATTTCCATCAACTTTAAGCCTAATAAGTGCCTTTTTTTAGAAATGGACGTTTATGTGAGTAAAATACACAAAACCTGTTATACTTAAAGATTGCTGGAATTTTTAGCATGTATTGGCCTTTTTAGCCACACTAGACGCTGTTCCAAGTCTTCCAAGTCCTCCATACAGAGCCCTTTCTTCTGGCACGTGAGCCGTCACTACTCCCCCCCCCGCGACAGCTGGGATTCCCCCTTCTGCCACCACTTCTGGATCCTCCGGGTCCGTTGCATGAGTCCCCCTTAAACCCCCACTTCCAGTTCTGGATCCATCACCATGATTCCCCCTTAAACCGCCACTCCGCCACTTCCGTTTGTCCGGATTGGTACACCACTCCGTCCCCACCCCCCAATTTTAGGCACGCGAGCCCAAAAAGGTTCGCCTCCACTGCCATAGTCTCTCAAGACTGAAGGATGCCTAGCCTAATGAATTTCGTTGTATGGTATACTGTGTATATACTTACAATGACAATAAATTATATTATTATTATAACCTAAAGATCGCCTTCCGAGTCTTATTTTCTAACGTGCTAGGCTTTGGTGAGGGTGGATACCAAAAACAATTGGGTAAAGAAGAGGACTTGTACAGCTAATTCTAATCTTAAGGAGCTGGCCTTCTGCTGTGCATTTTCCTGGAACTTAAGCAAGTTCTCAGAACTCACAACACCCTCGAGAGCAGAATTGAGTTCCCTGCCATTATTGTCCTACCATTGCACTTCTAGCAGATCCCCCACTAATTGGCCTCCAATGTGAAGAGAATGGCAAAAACTCTGTGCTTTCCTCTCTTCTCACAGCACGACAGAACAATTGGCCTCCGCTTCCAAAGAGCTGTCCAGTTAAGCCATGTTTCTATCAAGATTTCTCTGCAGACATCCCAGCTGACTATCAGCGAACTTGCAAGATGTTGTATTACCTGTGGATGTGTAAGTAACCATAACCGTAGCTCTTGTTTCTGGTTCCCAAAAGGGCTGGAGAATCAGAATCGGGTTCAGGTCTAGAAACACATTTTCTCCTTGGATGTGTTTCCAGGGTTCCAATGGAACCCGTTGTAAGGTTTATGGCCACCGCTGCAGATGTAAAATGTGGGGGGGGAAAGCCTTGAAAGAAAGACAGTGTACTTTTCGCGTTCTCTCTAAAAGAGGCAGGGCATTTGAAATTTAGGCTTGCCCTATGCCTTCAGAGTGAGATCTGTGTGCATTACATAACATGGACGGAGAAGATGATGCACACTTTGTAATTCTAAACATCTGTGATCATTCTTTAAAGGGACCGAGATGCTAGTCCACAGGCTCTTCAGTTCCGCTTGGCGAAGTAC